TCAATCCCGTATTTCTCCCCCAGCTCCTTGATGAACTTCTCCTGGTGCAGCTTCAACCACATGTGATCCAGATCCCTCTCCACGTGCATCCCGAGGTAGTACTTTACCTCCCCAAGGTTCTTGCACTTGAAGTTCTCCATCAGCTGCTGCTGCACCTTCTGGATCTCCTTCATGCTGCTGCGAAAGAGAAGAATATCGTCCACATAGACCAGAAACAGCACCAGCTTCTCCCCCTCCCCCTTGAGAAAGAGGCTCTCATCACAGCTGCTGGTCCTGAATCCCATCTCCTCTAAAACAGCTGCCAACTTCTGGTACCAGCAGCGTGGCGCCTGCTTCAAGCCGTAGATGGACTTTTTCAGCTTGCACACCCTGCCCGTACCATCCTCATACCCAGGCGGCTGGGTCATGTACACATCCTCCTCTAAAATCCCATTGAGGAATGCCGTTGATATATCCATCTGAATGATGAATTTCCCACTAACGGCTGAATCTGCCAACAAGACACGGAGGGTAGGGGGTTTGGCAGTGGGAGCAAAGATCTCATTGAAGTCCTGCTTCTCCTTCTGCATAAACCCCTTAGCCACCAGCCTACTCTTGTAGATGGTGACCTGTCCCTTGTCATCGGTTTTGATCCTTAGCACCCACTTGCACTGTACGGCTTTCTTCCCCTCAGGCAGCACCACCAGCTCCCATGTCCCATTCTCTAGCAGGCTCTGGTACTCAGCATCCCTGGAAACCAGCCACTTCTCCCTATCTGGTCCAGCTAATGCCTCCTCCATGCTAGCTGGTTCCTCTGGTGCAAGGGCAAGAAAACAGTAGGCAGGTTCATCCTCCTTATCCGGATCATAGCCATGCGGTAGAATCAGCAATGCCTCCTCTGTCCCAAGATGCTGCTCTGCTACATCAGCTCCTGCAGTCAGCTTCTTAGTAGCCATACGGGTACGGCCTGGCCTGGAGATGGGTGTCTCCCATCCCCTCATAACAACACCCTTCGGCTTCTTAGTTTTCCCCTGCTGCTGCTCTCCTCCCTCGGATCCAGCAGCTCCACTAGTGCTACCGCTAGTCTCCACACCATCACCTCCACCAGCAGGTGCCTCCTGCACCTTCTCTCCATCACCACCCTCTGCAGCTGCCTCCTCTCCCTCCTCCCACACACTAGGAGTCAGGTCCAGGTGCATGGTGATCTGCTACATCTGCTGGGACACCCTGGCCTCCGGCTGTTTCTCCCAGCTCCCATACATCATGCCCTCAACAAACTTCACATCCGTGCTGTCAAACAACACACCCTTGGAAGGTTCCCACAGCAGCCATCCCTTGCTCTCAGCAGCCAGCTCCAAATGCACACACCAGCTCAACCGAACACCCTCAGCATGTCCACCGGTGGCTTCCTCCCAAGCCACCTCTCCAACGGCACCCACGAGTCATCCCCAACCTTTGTGAGTACCCTGTTCCTAGCGACGGTAGCGTGCCGAACAGCATGGGGCCACATCAAGTTGCCCAGCCCAGATTCTATGAGCAGCGCCCTAGCTGTCTCCAGAATTGTCCGGTTCGCCCGTTCTGCTACACCGTTGGACTGTGGGGTGTAAGCCGTGGTCAGCTCCCTCTGGATGCCCTGCTTCTTGAGCCAGGCCGTCATCTCAGCTCCAAGGAACTCACCACCCCGATCTGTCCTAATCCGCTTCACCACACACTCCGCTTGCTTCTCCACGAATGGCAGCCAATCTTCCCGTATCGTAGAGGCGGCATGGTCCTTCTGCTTCAGCGGATATGCCCACATAAGCCTGCTCCAATCATCCACTATGGTCAGAAAGTACCGCTCCCCCTTGTGCCCCTGAACCGGCAGCGGCCCCACCAAGTCCATGTGGACCAACTCTAAAGGCTTCTTGCTCCTGCCAGTCACGCTATGGAAGGGGAAACGGGTAAACTTTGAGAGCAAACAGATTTCACAATTCTCATCAGGTGGCTGTCCGTTCAGTTTCAGACCCTTAACGGCTCCATCTTTCTCCAACTGCTTCAACAAGGGCATTGCCACATGCCCCAAGCGTCGGTGTGCCGTTGCCCAATCCGTCTCCCCAGATCTGGCCGACACTTTCACACCAACCCCTCCAACGGCATTGCACTCCCCCTGGGATGCAGACCCCTCTCCAGCCTGCCCCCCACCATGCCACGCCAACGCCGGCAGCTGCCACATGGATCTGTACACGTCCGTGCTCTCGTGCAGATCCCAAAGCACCCGATTTCCCAGCTGCCCCTTGTAAGTGCGTGCCCCATCCGTGCTAGTGCTCACCCCAGCCTTGCCAAGCTTACGGAGGGAGATGAGGTTGGCCTTTAGTTCAGGAACAAGGAGAACGTCGTGCAGCACCACCGGCTTGCCATCCGCTCCCTTAAACGCAGCTCGTCCCGCACCAGCCACCTTCAGCGCGTGTCCAGAGGCGGAGCACACCTCGTTGATCGGTGCAGCGCGTACGTGGTCCAGCAGGTCCTTGCGCGGCGTCATCGTCCAAGCAGCGCCCGTGTCCAACACCCAATAGTCCAGGGGGTGCAGCTCTTCTCCAACCTTGGCAGATGCGTCTCCTTGCTCCCCCTGCTCTCCAATATGGAATAACTGGCCCGCCTAGCGCTCCTTCTTCTTTTCCGCACCGCCGTTGCTCTTCGGGTTGTTGTCGGACGAATCGGCGACCATGCTCGCGCCGTTTTTCTGGTTCCTCCGCGCGCCGCCATTCTGGTGACGATTCTGGGGGGTCCATCCATCGGGTTTCTTATAGCACAAAAACCAGGGGTGCCCCTCCTTCTCACAATACCAGCAACTCCCTTTCATTTTGCCACCACCACCCGACTTGCCCCCACGTCCAGATTTCGCACCGCGACCCCAACCGGTACCTCCTTGTTGGTCGTTGGAGTCGTCGTCCTTCTTTGCACCGCGTCCAGCACCACCGAAGCCACGTCCTCTGCCACGTCGGCTCCCTTGCATCCCGTAGCCGCTGCTGCCGTCGTCTCCACCCCTCAGTTGACGGCGACGGAAGTCCTCCTCCAGAATCTTTGTCCGCACCCACTCGAGTGTCCAGGAGCTCTGGTTCTGCGGCAGGCTCAATCCGCTCGTGAATTGAAGCCACGATTCCGGCAGCAGCGAGAGCATCTTCAAACACTTGGTCTGCTCCGGGTAGGTGATTCCCGCGGTCGCCAATTTCGCGTAGAGGTCGCGCATCTTGTCCAGGACAGGTTGCACCGGCTCTCCCTCGCTCAGGCGCAACGCGGACAGCTCCCTCTCCAGCATCAACGTTGCAACAACGGAGGTCGGGGCGTGCAGCTCCTTCAACACGGTCCACGCCTTCGGACCGCACTCAACCTCCGGCAGCAGATGCATGACGTGGTGACGCTGGTTCAGCTCCAAACTCTGCGACATCAAATAGTAGCCAGCCGAGGAGCGCTCGTCCCAATCTTCCTGCAGCGCGGGGTCACTCGGTCTAGGCTCCTCCCCAATCATTAGTTTCAGCAAACCGATCTGACGGAAATACAATTGCATTTTCCAGGCCCAATCATCATAGCCCTCACCATTGAACTTCTCGACGGTGAAGTTCTTCAGCACCTCCTTGACTAGCGAGCCCTGGTTTGTTCGCGCTCCCCTTGGCGCTAAACACCAGAATCTTGGCTGCCGCTACGATCTTGGGCTGAAGATTCACCAGTTCCCGTCGAGGTGTTGCCCGCCATAGCTACCTATAACGAGGATCACTATAACGCAGCTCTGATACCAGCTTGTTGGTGTAAGGGCCTAATAAACTCAAGCTATTAAGACTTAATCAAACTTAAAACCTCTCCTCGGGGTCACCTCCAAGGGTCCTTGGGTGCCTGGTACAAGACCAGCCCCTATCCTCAGGTCCGAGTTTGTAGAGAGAGGGATCAAGAGGGACTTAGTCAAAACAGCAAGAGTACCTTGAACGTCGCGCAGCGTATCGTGCAGACCGTCGATCGGATTAAGCTGAGAATTTCCTATATCGAAGCTCTCTCCAAGAGCTTTAAAATGAACCAAGTTGCCTCGCGAAAAGTTCTGCCATTACGAAGTTATGGCTCGGACAGCGTTTGCCTAGTGTTGAAGTGCTAGCGTACTAGCGTTGACTTGGGTAGCATTCCGCCGTCGCACCGCGTAGAAACGAAATTCCAGGAAGGAAGGAATTCGCTTGAATCAAATTGACTATATTCAGGTACAAACAGAGAAGGAATAAATAGTTCTAGCTAGCAAGGACCTTGGGAATCAACCTGGGAACAACCAGGGATGATCCCAAATAATTCCAAGCAACAGAACCAACCTGGCTGGACAAAACAGCAGGTGGTAGGTTGGTAAACAACCTCTGGTTCTGTTTTTCCAACCTGGGAAAACAACAACCAGGTTCAGGTCCTAAAAACAGAACCTGTTTTGTCTTTGCCCAACCAGCCAAATGCTGGTTCCGCTGGTTTCCCCTGGCCCTGTAGCATGCAGATACAGACAAACAACATCCAACCTTCACCTAAATTGTACCCCTATATTGCCTGCCCTGCTACACTATAGTAAACCAAACAAAACAGTACAATTTTGAGTTGGATAGAACTGAATCTGCGCAATCAATTCAACCGAACCGCAAAGCTTCCATCTTGGGTTCCTTTGCGAGCTCGTCCTTTCTGCTTGTACTGTTCATAGCGCGTACAATGTTGCGCCGAAGCGCACAATGCGCGAGTACCTGCAAATGCTTCAAGCGAAAATTGCGAAAGCAAACAAACACACGAACATTCCATTCCCACCCAAATGCATTCGCACACGCATACTCGTACAAACAGACGGCAGGATGTCGTGCAATGTGAATTTGCACCCAACAAATCCACATGGGCACGAAGCATGCGTGGTGGCACGTCACCCTCCGCCAAGACGCCTGGGTGCGCAATAGCATCAAACGGGCTCCCCTTCCTCCGAGGACGACAGGGGCACGAAGGTGAACTTTGATTCGACGAAATAACCCCCCAAATGCAGATTAATGTGTGCATGTGGATGATTTGGTGTGCTCTGACCCGAGTGGGGGAGAGAGCGGAGGTGTGGAGGGAGGAGGGCCGAGAAGCGGAAGAGATATGTGCTGGAGTGAGTGAGGGAAGAGGGACAAGAAGGGCAAGAGGGGCAGGAGGTGGGGAAAGATAGAGCGGGGGAGTTGAATATGACGGGGGACGATGAAGTGCACTGGAGTGGGGTGACAGGAGATAGGGGCGAGGGAGGCATTGAGGCAGAGCAAGGGAGGGGAAAAGAGAGTGGACTGGACACTGAGGCGAGAGGGCAGCACAGGGAGCAACAAGGGGTGGAACAGCAGGAGGAGCAGTAGGAAGGCAGGTGCAGCGAGGAAGGGGCAGGGGGAACGGAGGGAGAGATGGAGGGAGAGGTGGGGGGAGAGGCGAAAATGGGAGGCGGAGGAGTTGAGGGCACTGGGGAGAAAGCGGAGGATGAATCTAAGGGGGAGGAGGCCAAGGAAGAGGTTGATAAGGAAGCCATTGGACTTACGGATGCCACAAGAACCCCAACAGCCACAGCAAGTACAACAGCCACAACAGTCGCAAGAGCCACAAGAGTCATAGATGTGCTTCTCCCATCTTCCCTCCCCAATGCATCTCCTCGCCTCCACGCATCTACTTCACCTACACCATCCTTTCCTCTCCCGCCCACACCTGCATTATTTCAGCCTCCCCCCGCCTCCTACTCTTCAACTGATGACTCAACTCCTGTCGCTCCCTACTCCTCTGTCCCCTCCTCTGATCCCACATCCCCCTCTCCTTTAACCCGAACTGCTCCTCCCCCCTCTTCTACATCTGCCCCCACTTCCTCTCTGCCTACCAATGCAGCAATGCAGAAAAAGCTGGTTGAAACACACAGGCTAGAGCAGCCGTCTCAGCAGCAGCAGCAGATGCTGCTTCAACAGCAGCAGCAGCAGCAGCGTCGTCAGCAGAAGGTGCAAGAGCAGTAGAAGCGGCGTGGAGAGAAGAAATGCTTGTCAAGGAGAGGGTGGCACTGGGAGCAAAGGGCGCTGTGCTAGCGATTAAAATGAACATATGGCTTGCCCTCGAGAAATGCATAGGCACTGCTACGGCTGCTGATGGGCCGAGTGGGGGATGGAGTGAAAAAGCTGGTGGTGATGGTCATTTATTTGCGAGCGATGGGTCAAATACCGATGATGATGAGGATGATGGGGACGGTGGGGGGAGTAGCGATGGTGCCAGTGGTGGTGGTTCTGGCAAGGAGAGTGACAAGGAGGGTGTGGGCAAGGAGGAGAGGAGGGTGGCTCATCTTAACGGTGCGCCTGGTAGGGGGGTTCCCGGCCATGACGGCCCGTGTGCACAGGGAAGAGGAGGGATGGGAAATGACATGGATAACCCTATGGTGCGTGGCATGAGTGCATACAATGCGAGGAGGCAGGACGTGCGTTGGAACGGCATGGGCTGGTCTGTGGTGGAGGAGGATGCGATTGAGGGAAAGGTGTGTGCCAAGTGCGGCCTGGTCCTCATGAGCGCCCACGAGCTGTCTATTGTGAGTCAGCTTAAGGTTTAGGGCTTCTGGCTTTGGATTCTATGTGTGGCTGGTTGCATAGCTTTCTTGGTGGAGGGTGAGGTCTGTGCCAGTGCGGGGTGCTGCTGAGGAGTGCATGGGTAACGGCATGGGTAACGGCGTGGGAAAAGGGCATGGTTAACCCCATGGTGTGCGTTTGGTATGACAGGGGCTGGTATGTTGTGGAGGAGGATGCGATGGAAGGGGAGGTGTGTGCCAAATGCGGCTTGGTCTTGAGAAGTGTCCACGAGCTGTCTCTTGTGAGTCGTGCTTAAGGTTTGGGAGCTAAGGGGCAGGCAAGCCGTGGGATGTGTTGGTGCAACCCTACGGTTTGCACTCGGCTTGTTGTCCGTGTGCGTGCATGCGTGTGTGCATGGAATGGAATGAGTGCATGAAATAAATATATATTTCATGCTTATAATTGTGTGTGTATGATGGGTCATGATGTCGACTGTGTGTGTGTCGAGTCAATAGCGAATTATCGCTGGTCGCGCGTAACGTGGTCATTTTGTGTGTCCCGCGCGTTTCTATTCTGTCGTGTGCGGTTTCTATTTTGTCGCGTGTCGAACGTTCGGCGTGTCGCAGGTGTGTGCAGCAGACCCATCAAAAACTCAAGGATGAGTTTGTGATGAAGAACCCGAGCCTTGGTTTCAAGCTTCAAGTGATTTCGAAGCTCGCCAAAAGGGCACACTTCAAGATATTGAAGATAGTTACATTATAATGTGTAGTGTAACATTTCTATTGGTGTAGACCCTTGTGAAGGGTAGGTTCGAGACCCTTCGTGGTTGGGGACAGTGTGGCACTGTTCCACATCACTGTACCTCGGCTCTTGGGGTTTGTAGGAGCTGGGAGTCATTCCCAACTCGTAACTCTCCCTAACTCTTCCTATCTTGTGTTCTAAGACTATAGTTGCTGCCATAGTGCCGTTCGTTCAAACCAACGCTGTGTCATCAATACTTGGTCAAATCGTGCGATCTAAATTGCCTAGTGTAGGCGACATTAAGACGCTTCAGATCCAAGTTGAATCAGGTCATTTGAAGTTGTGACCAGAACGCTATAAACGTTTAAAGCCGCTGAGCAGAAATCTGACTGTGCACTCTATCTTTCGTTTTAGGCACATTGGAGCCTATTGTGACTATAACAAGTGGTATCAGAGCCCCTTGGAGCAGTTTCGACAATGGCTGGACCTGAGGAAAGGGGTGGCAGAGGTGCTGGTGGCAGTGGAGAAGCTCATGCACAAGGCCAACCCCGTGATTCAGCCATGGCGCCCGTGCAACCAAGCGTTGGCCCATCTAGGGATGAGCCTAGAGTGTTTGGCCTTGACAAGTTCAACGGTGACAACTTTGCTGAGTGGTCCTTCAGAATGGAGAACGTGTTTGACCACTACAACCTGCTGGAGGTGATGGAAGGAACGGAGAAGCGCCCCGAGAACGACCCGGAGAAGAGCCCGTGGGTGCGGAAGAGCACACAAGGCTACCTCCTACTTGGGTGCAGCAAGTGAGCGAGCGTGCACCGACACTTCCTTCCCGCAGTACGAGCGCTCCACGGATCCGTGCTACACCGCAGCAACGCCAAGGCCTTCAAGTCCCTGCAGCTGAGGAGGAAGGAAGGGGGAAGAGGAGAGTTCAACCCCCTAATAGGCTGACGTATGATGCACCGGGAAAGCAGGGCAAGTCAGCCCTGGCCGGAGCGGCAATGATGGTCGGAGACGACGAGGAGAGTGACTACGAGGAAAGTGCGTTCGTGTTCTTCTCTCCGATGGAGATGCCGGGAGAACCAGCAACTCTCAAGGAGGCCTTGGAGAGTAGTGATGCTGAGGAGTGGAAGAAGGCAATGGAGAGTGAGCTGAAGAGCATCGAGGAGAACGATAAGTTTGAATTGGTGGAGCTATGAGAGGGGCGTACAGCGATAAAGTCCAAGTGGCTCTTCAAAATCAAGTCGGATGCCGACGGCAAGATTGAGCGCTACAAGTCTAGGCTTGTAGCCAAGGGGTACCAGCAGAAGGAGAAGGTGGACTTCAAGGAGCTGTTTGCTCCTGTGGTGAAGCCGAGGACGCTGCGAACCCTATTCGCGGGAGCCGCCATCAAAGGATGGGTGGTAAAGCAAATGGACATCGTAACGGCATTCGTTGACAGCATCCTTGAGGAGGAGATTTTTATGGCGCAGCCAGAGGGGTTTGATGATGATAGTGGCAGAGTGTGGAAGCTGAAGAAGGCCCTCTATGGGCTGAAGCAGGTCCCTAGGCAATGGTACATGAAGCTACACGAAGTGTTGGAGGGGATCGGCTTCTCTCCCTCAACGGCCGATCACTCCTTGTTCATGCTTGGCGAGGGGGAGCAGAGGAGCTTCATGGTGGTGTACGTGGACGACATCCTGATCTTCTCACCCTCTTCTGACCTTGTGAAGGAGGTGATGCTGACGCTTCAAGACAAGTTCAAGTGCAAGTCCCTCGGGGACGTGAACTTCTACCTTGGGCTCCACATCGAGCGTGACGTGGAGAAGCGGTGCATGCGGGTGCACCAACGGAAGTACCTGGAGGCCTTGGCTGCCAACTTTGGGCAGAGTGAAGGCCATGTGGCTACTCGCTTTCCCTCTGGGTTCAAGTGTGTGAAGGGACCAGAGGAGGAGAGCGTTGGTGAAGAGGAGAGGCGCCGATTTCACTCGTTGGTGGGCAGCCTCATGTATGCGGCGGTCAACACACGACCAGATGTTGCATTTGCTACCGGTCAGCTGGCAAGGGTTGTTCAATGCCCTAATGAGGAGCAGGTACCAGCTGGAATGAGGGTGGCCAAGTATCTTGGTCAAACACCGACCGTTGGGCTGCAATACTCGGCAGCGGCGCAAAGGCGCCAAAAGGGCGCGGATGGTGTTGAACCCGGGCGTTTGTTCCTCACCGCCTACTCGGATGCTTCATATGCATCAGAACCAGAGGACATGACAAGTGTGGGAGGCTTCATATGCTGTGTTGGTGGAGGCCCAACTGCTTGGGAGAGCAAGAAGCAGGTTGACCAAGCTTTGAGCTCGGTGGAGTCCGAGTACATGGCACTATTCCGTGCGGTACGGGAGATTGTATGGCAGCGGCGTTTGTTGGCTGAATTGGGGGAGGAGCAGCAAGAACCTACCCCACTCTACTGTGACAGCCAGGGAGCCATTGCTCTAGCTAAGAACCCTGTGCTACACGGCCTCACCAAGCAGATGAGGGTGAAGTGGCACTGGACGAGGAGCATGGTGGCCGCGGGTGAAGTTGAGCTGCACTACGTGAAGACGACGGGGCAGCCGGCTGACATGATGACCAAGAGGCTGGTGGAGCAGCAGCATTGGAAGTGTTGCAAGCTGGCTGGGATGGCTCTGAAATGAGAGAGAAAGATCCTAAGGCCAACAATCCGAGGGGGAGTTTGTTGGTGCAACCCTACGGTTTGCACTCGGCTTGTTGTCCGTGTGCGTGCATGCGTGCGTGCATGGAATGGAATGAGTGCATGAAATAAATATATATTTCATGCTTATAAAAGTGTGTGTATGATGGGTCATGATGTCGACTGTGTGTGTGTCGAGTCAATAGCGAATTATCGCTGGTCGCGTGTAACGTGGTCATTTTGTGTGTCCCGCGCGGTTTCTATTTTGTCGTGCGCGGTTTTTATTTTGTCGCTTGTCAAACGTTCGGCGTGTCGCAGGTGTGTGCAGCAGGCCCATCAAGAACTCAAGGATGAGTTTGTGATGAAGAACCCGAGCCTTGGTTTCAAGCTTCAAGTGATTTCGAAGCTCGCCAAAAGGGTACACTTCAAGATATTGATGATAGTTATATTACAATGTGTAGTGTAACATTTCTATTGGTGTAGACCCTTGTGAAGGGTAGGTTCGAGACCCTTCGTGGTTGGGGACAGTGTGGCACTGTTCCACATCACTGTACCTCAGCTCTTGGGGTTTGTAGGAGCTGGGAGTCATTCCCAACTCGTAACTCTCCCTAACTCTTCCTATCTTGTGTTCTAAGACTATAGTTGCTGCCACAGTGCCGTTCGTTCAAACCAACGCTGTGTCGTCAATACTTGGTCAAATCGTGCGATCTAAATTGCCTAGTGTAGGCGACATTAAGACGCTTCAGATCCAAGTTGAATCAGGTCATTTGAAGTTGTGACCAAAACGCTATGAACGTTTAAAGCCGCTGAGCAGAAATCTGACTGTGCACTCTATCTTTCGTTTTAGGCACATTGGAGCCTACTGTGACTATAACAGGATGGAGCTGCCTTGCCAGACTCCATTGGGAGGAGAACAAGGGGCAGGCAGCATGCGCGCCCATTTCAACTTCCATGTCCCCCGTTTCTCTTCCGCATGTCCCGAATCGGCCCTTTCCAGGGGCTGTAGTGACTATCAGGCGGCCCCACCTCACCTCTATGCAGATGCGGGCGCAGCAAGCTATGCGAGTCATGGAGGTTGCCCATCGCAATTCGAGTGACCGCCTACACAGGTGATCAGATAGGATCGACCAGGAGTGGAGGTAAGACGAGAGGAGGCAAGAGGAGTGGAGGGAGGAAGGGAGGTATGAGGATAGGAGGAGCCAGGATTAGAGGGAGTATGGGGGGAGTGGGATAAATAGGAGCCAAGAGGAGAGGGGGGGGTAGGGGGAGTGGAGGGGGTGTGGATGGAAATTGAAGGCTGATGTCATGGAGAGGAGGCGGCGGGGAATGGGGTAGGAGAGGAAGGCATCCCTGAGAGTGGTGGAGGGGGATGTGCCTGCAAGCTGGAGTTGCGGGGGGTGGAGCGGCCGAAGGCGCGGAACAGAAGTAGAGGGAAGGGATTGGAGGTCGATTGTAAGAAAAAACTTGGTGCTTGACGTGTCATGAATCTACACTAATAGTGCAGCAGCATCAGTGACCTCATGACCGACTAGCAGTTTGTGTACTATAAGAGGGTCTTGAGCATGGAATGTATTGCACATATTCGGAGATGCAGTATCGAATCAGCATGTGGTGTGCAGCGGTGTGCGTAGGGGTGAATGGTGTCCGGTGTGCACGTTTCCTTTCAGAGCAAGGAGCTGCTAACGAGGATGCGAGAAGCGAACCATCAGCTGGCAAGTACTGCGTTCGAGCATGCGGGCAGCCTGGACAGCTGGATCACAATGCAAGCAAGTGCTCATGCAAGCACAAACAGGAGGCAGAGACATAGATTCGGATCTCCCGAACAAGGCAGACTTGGTGATGGATGCTTGTCTGTTTGTACCGAGGCAGAGACTATTGCTACCTAGAACAGTCATGTACGTAGAAATAAGCTAGCTGTAGTCATCCCTGCATCGTCCAATTTTTTTTTTGCCTTAGATAATCAATCTTGGATGGTCATTAGATGAAAGCCATTCAGTCAGCCAGCGATGTGTCACCGCATATGCACTTGATGCATCTGCAATAACAGTTGGTTGCTGGTCTAGGAAGTACTTGAGGGTATCATCGAATATGCACTTAATGCATAGACAATGGATTTAGTGTAGGGGTATAGAATGTAGCAAAGTGACTGTTGCAAGGGGTTGTAGAAGGGGGGAATTGCATAGGAGCGGTTGAGTTAGCGGGGGAAAGGCACCAAAGGGCGAAATGTGAAACACAAATGCATCCCAACCCCGAGCCGCACATTAGGAAATGTGCAGCCTGGGGTTGAGTAAGGTCAATCACGCCCAACTCCTCGATGCTTCTTGTTTGTTATTCTCTCGTGATAGTGGAAGCTGGCACTCTAGCTTTTATCACACAGTGACAGGCCACCAGGAGGGAACCATTGGGGCGAGGGAGCGATCTCTTTCATAACAAACAAGAAGTCTCGACGTGTAGAGTGGACAAGTATCAGTTGCTCTGGGGCACAATCTTCAGCCGATGAGAGGAGGAACGGCCGTGGCGTGAGCGCTCACAGGAGCATGGGCGGTTCTTAGAGCGATCCCCTAGGAGGCCGACCATCCGCGCAGATTGGGTCGCGGTTGAGCTGAGCCGACGGGAAGGAAGTTTGACGCACGGCGAAGCGAGCGGAGAGAGGTTTGCTGCGTCAGCAAGCAGTGCACCTTCACCGAAGGCGAGCGCGGTCACCACCGTGACGTCGGGGTGTTTTGCTCCCTGGAAGTTAGGGAACAGCGATGCGACAACCGAGGTCGCTGGCGTGGACGAGAGGAACCTCTTTGCAGCCAAGGAGGAGGCTTTGGGGTCAGCAGGGAGGAGGAATTATCTCAGGCCGACCAGACGCAGAAGGAGGCGCATGATGACAATGTGGGGGATGGGAATGACGAGCAGGAGCACTACGACGACCAAGCAGGCAAGGACCATGACGACCTTGCCGGAGCCGAGGAGGAGGAATCCGTGCCAGCAGACAAACCAACGCAGGCAAGGGGGCAGGGGAGGAATCGAGGATGGCGCGGTAGGAGCATTGCGCTGAACGTCTTGACGGCATGAGAAGGCGCCTCTCAGACGACATGCCGCAAAAGGGGTGTTAGAATCGCGGGGAAGATGCGTGCAAGTCGTAGTTGTGGGGACTGCGCGGAGGAAGAGGAGAAGAGCGTTCGCACACGCGTGAAGGACATCGGTGGACGACGGAACGGCGGGAGGGAGACACACGCTCGCCTGGGGAACGCCAGCCATGGGCTGGACGGCACGGCAGCAGAGGGCGCTCGCCGCACGAGGAACAACGATGGGGAGGAAGACGAGAGGGTGGGTCACGCCTGCCCTATCGTCAGAAGTCACAAGGAGGGAGTAGAGGCGCGGAGTCTCAGTCGCCAGAGCCGCACTGGCAGAAGGAGGATTGGCGCAGGGGTGGATCGCGCTCGCCACGCTGACAGGAGCAGCAGGAATGGAGGCCCCGCGGCAAGCTGCGCTCACCCGACCACCGCCGCGAGCGGGAAGAGACTCGTGACGGGGCAAGGCGCTCATCGGATGGCCACCGGCAGCAAGGATGGGAGAGGGACGAATGGGCGCGCACGCCAGCGAGACACCGACCGTGCAAGAGACGACGGGAGGAATGGGAAAGGGCGTATCGCTCGCCAGCCCGGCAATGGGGGTAGGCGGGACGACAGAGGAGCCCTGGGGGCCTGCATTGCGAGAGAAGAAGCAGTCCACGGGCGAGCAGAACCAGGAGCGTGAGCCTGGCGTACGGTGCAAAACGGGCTCGAGAAGCAAGGGAAGGCATAGAGAGAGCCAGAGGATGGGGAGCATAAGGGGGGACAGTCCAGAGGAGCGGGTGAATCCTGGGGAGAAGGGCGTGGAAGGTTGGAAGTACAAGCCAGATTCTCGGGAGATCAACAGTCGGGGCCATTGTTCAATAACTATCTGATGCAAGTGGGAAACGTAAGATATCGGTGCGACAGGAATGACATCGACCCAGTGGATTTCATCCTGAGCTTGCCGAACACTCTGGAAGGAGAGGCAGAGACGTTGTACCGCATGAGAATGGATGAACTATTGTGGAGGGCAGGGAATTACGGGGAAGACCTCACGGAGGCGTTGGTGGAGCAGTTGCAAAGGCAGTTTCCCAGGCACATGGCTGAGCGGATGAGGGAGTTCCAAGAGTTCAGAAAGGTAAGGGCTGAGTCACTGCTGACATACTACAACCGATTAATCAATGTGGTAGAGGACGTGAGGTGCTCGAACAGCAGCCTCCTCATCAATAAGTTCTTGGGGGGTTTGGATGAGGCGCTAGGAGGAGGACTGAAGATGAGGGTGTATGAGTTGGGAGCGGAGGCGAGCCTGAATGAAGTGTTTGACCTGGCAGAGAAGGTGGAGCTCGCCCAGACGAAGGATGAGACACATCTGCCGAAGCCAGCGGAAAGAAGCCGCAGGCCAACCTGGGCGGCAGCAATGATACCAGAAGGGGGAGGGAGGATAGACGGGCGAGGGGAGGCAAGAGCTGACACCAGGACATGCCATAGGTGCAAGCAGCCAGGGCACATTCGCAGGGACTGCAAGAACTGTGACGGCTGTGGGAAGCCAGGGCACCGAATGCGAGAATGCCCAGATGCAGCCAGGTGTGAGATCTGCAAGAAGCGGGGACATGAGGCCAAGGATTGTTATCAGAGAGAGGGAGGGGCTAGGAGAAACCCAAAAAAGCTGCAGCGGTAGATCAGCAGGCTACAGGCACAACTGCAAGCATCAGGATTAAGATGGGAAGCAGAAGCGGGGATGTATGCCAGAGGAAGGAGATGAGGTGGAACAGGATGTGCAGTGTGCCCTCATGGCATGGAGAGGAAGAGAAGAGATGGGGCTGAGGAGCGGAGTGAAGGATGGTAGGCGGGAGCAGGGCAGGAAGGAGCAGGAGAGGGGATAGAAGTCAAACGAGCCAGCGCTGGAGAGGCCACCAGCGCGCCATCCCCAAGAAAGGCTGGCGTGCCAGACCACAATGCTGCTGCTGAAAGGGGGAGCAATGGAGGTGGAGGGAGAGAAGGTGAAGACCGCGATCATAAACACGGGAGCACAGAGTGTGACGTTGGGCAAGGGAATGGCAGAGAGGCTGGGGTTTATGGCACCTGAAAGACACGTGGCGAAGGGGATGCTAGTGATGATGGCAAAAGAAGGGGAACCAAAATGGATGTCATGCACCCGCACACCCATAGAAGTGACTCTGCTTCCGGAGGAAGAACATGAGACCAAAATTAGGATGAAATGTGGGATCTCGTAGTCGGAGGACTTTGACGTGCTGGTGGGCACTGAGCTTGTGTTTGTGGTAGGGATGTCCATATGCACCTCGACAGAGAAGGTGGAGTTTTGGACGCGATTCTGGAAGAAACAGGGACTGTTGGGACAACTGCCGGTGCGATTTGTGAAGGTGGAGCCAGAGCGAGCATACCAGGCCACAACAGGAGTGCTGCCAGCGGAGCAGGGAGGGGGAACGGGGTCTGGGGGAGGGCCCAAGATGAGGTGGATGGACAATCCAAGGCGACAAAGCGATTGGCAGCAGCCCTCCTCCTTGTAGAACTGTTTGGAGGAAGAGGGGCAGGGCTATCAGCAGTGATGAGGAGCGGAATAGTAGTGCGGAAGTGGACATACGTAGAAAGGGAGCCGGTGGTGAGAAGGATGGCAGAGCACCATGCATGGAAATTGCAGGCGAAATTCCCGGAACTACTGAGCAAGAGAGTGATTCAAGAGGCCATGGGAGGATCCATTCATGACCTACAGAGGCAAAGTTGCCAGCTGGGGGCAGGTAGATCTGCTGGTGGTGGGGTGGGAATTCCAAAGGGTGTCTTGGGCAGGTAAAGGGAAGGGATGAGAGGATCCCTGAACAAAGCTGATGGAGGACCTATTTTGCATCATGGAGTTGCTACAAGAGAGGCATGGCAGATTGGCCTACCTACTAGAGAACCTAGACCTGGAAGAAGATAGCCGAGAGCCGATCCGAATAGTAAGGGAAAGAATCAAGGGGCAGCTGGGAGAAGGGGTGAGTTGTGATGCAGCCAGAGTAGGGTCATATGCGCATCGACTCAGGATGTACTGGCAGGATGTTGTCCCGGCCCTGAGTCTGTAGAAGGAGGTAGATGGAGTGAAGAGGGCACCAGGAAGGAGGGTGCAGGACATCCTAGAGCCAGGGCGGACTCCAGCGCCAGTGTTTCGGAAGGGCTACAGCAGGCATTACCATTGAAATCAGGTGGGGCAGGACAGACGAGCCCTGCCACCCCGGTGGCATATGAAGGGGCGGCAGGGTATGAGTGGGCAACTGAGAAACCAGGGCCGGGAATGGTGTATGATCATAGGAGACGGCGGTGGAAAGAACCAACCGCACTGGAACGAGAGTTGGCCATAGGGTATGGAGAGAATGCAATGGCAGCACCAGGGGTGAGCGAAGCAGACAGGAGGAATGCTTTGGGGAATGCAATAGATGGTCACATGCTGAGGTGGCTGATCCAGCGGATGTGACGGGAGACGGTTATGAGTTAGGGGCATGAGGGAGAGGAAGAGGTTGCGGAGTCAGTCTCTCAAGGAGCATGGACCTGCCGAGAGGAAGTGTGAGGATCTAGGATCGAGCTCAGAAAAGAGAATTGTAATTGAATGATTCCTCTGGGTACAGCACGAGGCTATATATAGTCTCAACACAAGGCCAGTTACCCAGGTGTTACGCGAATGTTCTGAGGGTCGCGAAGCGTCCCGAACAGATCCTTCCCGTACTCAGTAGAAAGCAATTCGGTGGCAACCGAAAAGGCTTGAGTTCGGTACACGTAACCTGGTTCGGTGCTATAACTATAATAAAATATAGGAATGCACCTAACCTAGGAAATCAAACATATCTATGCATGATGAATAAAACCCAAGCTAGATATAGCATAATAAAGTCTAGGCAAGCTAGCAAAGCCAGCATAAGCCGTCGTACTCTCACACGTCCCCCCTTCAAAGCTGGGTGGCGTGAAAAACACCCTGCTTGACAAGATAGTCCTTGAGAGCACGGCGTGCGTTGCCCATATCAGCTTCTGCAACCCAACTATCCTCAGTGGGGTTGTATCCCTTCCAGCGGATCAGGAACTCGAGGGTCTTGCCGCTGCGGCGTCGATGAGTGAGAACGTGCTCCACTTCATACTCGGGTTCATCCTGTACGAGAACAGGTGGTGGTGGCGGTAGCTGCCGTCCCTGGAACTGTTGGTTGGGGTCCTTGTAGGGTTTCAGTAGCTGGACATGGAAAGCGTTGTGAAGCTTCCATGTATCTGGTAAGCGCAAGCGGAATGTAACTGGTGTCACCTGTGCTTCAACGAGAAAAGGACCACAGAAGCGAGGTCGGAGTTTGGATGGAAGGTGAGACAGGTTCAAGTTGCGTGTGTCAAGAAGCACCTGATCTCCGACTGCTACCGAGTGATCACGTTGCTGACGATTGGCATACTGCTTCTGGGAGGTCTGCATCGTGGTGAGTCGTCGCTGAGTCTTCTTCCATAGCTGCTGCATGGTGGTGACGAAGTCATGTGTGGCTTGGACGTGTGCCGGTGTAGTTGGCTGCTGTGGTGTAAGTGGTTCGCGTCCGTAACACAAGAAGAAAGGAGTTTTCCCTGTGGCCGCATGCGATGCGTTGTTGTAAGCGAACTCTAGGGTTGTTAACTGTGTGTCCCAATGGCTGACATCGTCCTTGCAATCTGTGCGCAGTAACTGTTCAACCACCTGATTGAGTCGCTCGGTCTGTCCGTCAGTCTGGGGGTGGTATGCTGAAGACATTGCAAGCTTTGTCCCCAACAATCCCATGAGCTCCTTCTAGAACTTACTGGTGAATTTTGGGTCTCTGTCTGAGATGAGTGTAGCGGGGATGCCGTGAATGACGATGATGCGGTCGAAGAAGAGGCGAGCAGTTGCTTCAGCTGTAGCTGTGGCGTTGGTCGGTATGAAGTGACCCATTTTGGAGAACTTATCGATCACTACGAGGATGGAATCATGCCCCCGTGAGGTCGAAGGAAGTCCTGTGATGAAGTCGAGGCTAACGACCTGCCATGGCTGCTCCGGTACGGGTAGAGGCTGAAGTAATCCTGCGTTTTTCTGCTTGCTGCTCTTCATCCGCTGGCACGTGTCGCAAGAGGTGACGAACTGCTGCACGTCTGCTGCCATCCCGGGCCAGTAGTAATACTTTGCTATCCCTGCTAATGTCTTGTTGCTCCCGAAATGTCCCGCGTAAGGTACGTCGTGAAACTCCTCCAATAGGATCTGCCGTAGCGGGGCGTAATTCGGTACCCAAATCTTTCCTGAACCCTTCCTTACAGCTAAGTCTTTCTCCCACTGTAACAGCTTCTTGGTCTGTGCTGTAGCGATCTCTGCGTCCACGGAGTACCCATGTTGGAATAGACCCTTGAGGAGAGGGTTCATCCCGTCGAGCTGGATGCCTGCTACATGTCCGGGGCGGCTCAACGCGTCTGCCTTGTTGTGTAGCCCGGGTTTGTAGACGATGTCGTAGTGGAAGTGAGTTTCCAAGAAGTCCATCTACCGCACCTGTCGTCGTGAGAGCGTCGGCTGTGACTTCAGGTATTTGAGACTGCAGTGGTCGGTATAGACTATGGTCTTGGCTCCCTCTAGGTAACACCTCCCACGCCTTGAAGGCTACGACTATAGCTAAGGCTTCCTTGTCGTGGATGGGGTAGTTCAGTTCTGCTCCGTGTAGCTTTTTACTAAGGTAGGCGATAGGCTGT